ACATGTGGGTGGGAATAGGCAATGACTGGAGCTTGCCTGGCTTGGCCTGGTTTGAGGGGTTGATTGATTGTCGGGGCATGATCGGATGTATGCTTTAACGTCGGCACGGAGTGAGGGCCAATAGAAGTACCTAGAGATGGTGTTGAATAAAATCACCAACAAATGCTTCCACATTGACCAAACAGGATTCATCCCGGGTCGTTATATTCTGGATAATGTTATGGCATTGAACGAGTCAATATGAAAAATCAGAGAAAGGAAAATAAATGCTGCCATTCTCTTCTTTGACTTTGAGAAAGCATACGATCAAGCCAACTGGGACTTTATGGAAGCAAGCATAGAAAGAATGGGAGTCGGACCGAACTTCAGAAAGTGGGCTAGGATACTCTACAAGGATGCAGTTGGCTGTGTCCAAGTCAATGGACTTTTGTCAGATTGCTATCCGATATCCCGCTCGGTCCGCCAAGGGGACCCACTAGCTCTGTCAATTTTCCTATTCGTAATGGAGGCAATCGCATCCTTCCTGCGCAAGGATCCATCAATTCAGAGACTAGCCAGCACCAATGTAGGCTCGGCCCATCAGATGGATTTCCCCGCAGCTATCATGTTCGCCGATGACTTAATGGTTCTGATCAGAGCATCAGATTCTTCCTTCAGAACACTAGCCAAAGCAATGGAAGCATTCAAGTTAGCCTCATAAATGAAGATCAATTGGGGGAAAACAATTGGCTGGTGGATCTCCGATGATGAACCCCTTTCTCTCCAAGGATGTGAGGCGGCTATGACATGGCAAACACCGGATACACCCACACGTTATCTAGGTATCCTTATGACGAAAGGAGGATTGGCGCCCCAAATGGGCTTATCTATGCTGGCCAAACAGATTAACAAAATCGGAAGGTGGGGCAACGCCTTCACTTCCCTTATCGGCCGAGTGCTGGTTCTCAATTTGTCGGTGTTCTCAATGATGTGGTATATTGTTTCTATTTGGACAGTTCCCGACCGCTCGATTAAGGAGCTGAACAGACGAGCCAGGATTTACCTATGGACAGGAGACCCCAACAAAGACAAGGGCATATCTAAGATAGCTTGGCACTACGTCACAAGGAGGCCACGAGATGGGGACCTAGGAATCATTGACCCCGGAACAGAAACGAAAGCTCTGCAAATTAAATGGATCATCAAACTGCTGATGAATCCGGACAGCGCCTGGCACTGGACAGTATCAGATCGGTAGCTCCTGTTCCCTCCCCGAACGATTTGTCAGGTCTGTTTTGGGTAATGAACAAAGAATGGGTGATATCTACAGGACGGAGGAATCGAACGAGGAATAACAGACCCGAAGACCATTGGCCGATCACCCCCTACTGGCCGGCACTGCTTCGATCGTGGAGAAAAATAATCCCTAACAAGATAAACAAACCCAAATCTTAAGATGAAGTACTAAGACAACCGCTCTTCGGGAATGAATGGCTAACAAACGAGGCCAACAACGCACTTTTCCTTGAACAGAGGTGGCTGTCTTGGATCAAGAACGGTATCTGGAAAGTAGACCACTTGTGGGTGGAGGACAGAAAAGACTGGATAACAGAACAAGAAGCTAGTGCCCGACTGAAAGGATGCCACAGACGAGAGACCAATCTTCAATACATACTCAGTCGTATTCCTCAAGAATGGAAAGATATCCTGATAAAAGATGAGTCCTGGAGACCGGGTGAATGGGGTCTTTTGATTCAAGACACATCCTCTACTAGAGCCTATCAATTCTCTCACATGCAACAAGGCTCACACACCAGAGCCATTTTCCTCTCCTTCCCGGTCTCCTTCACCAATATGGACATGCCAGCTATTTTTGACTACAATGTAGAAACATCTATACTGGATTCCTTCCTCCTCAGAAAAGTAAGGGTCCTAGGTTCATGGCCAAACGCAATTTTCAGACCGGACACTGCAATTTGATCCTTGGAGTTCGACCCAGCGGAGTGGGGCTGGAAGCCAAATTCTACCAGCAACTTCAAGTCAAAAGTCCCGATCCAGGATTACTCAGTCAAACTTGGGTACAGACTGTCTCTGAAGACCAAAAATCCAGATCCAATCATCAAAAACAGATGGCGGAACCTCGTGGGTCAAGAAGCAGACAAAATCACACGAATCCATTGGGAAAAATTCAAACGTATTAGACCAATCAAGATCAGAAGTTTGCAATGGCTGATTGTATACGCAGCCCTGCCGGTGAACCAATGGCTGCACATTAGACGGAAAACCACAGACCCAGACAGCTCGGAATTATGTACAGTCTGCTCTGAAGGCTCTGTAGAAGACGTAGTCCACTGCCTAGTGCGCTGTAAAGAGGCGACCGAATACTGGGCGAGAGCTTCTTCACTCTGGGATTCCCTCTTCACATCTCCCTTCCCCAAACAACCCATTCAACTGCTCCTCTTGACTAACATCCCTGATCAGGCTCGGAAGGCAGGAAAGTGACCCTATGGGTCATATGGAAGGAGAGATGCAGTCGAACAATTGAAGGACGGTCCAACCCGCGGGAAAAAGTGTGGATAGAAACTAAAACAATGATTCAAGCCGAGATCCTTTGCAGATGGCGGAAGATCAAACGAGCCTGGACAGAAGGCGAAGAACAGCGGAACAAGGAGAGGCAGAGATTCTACAGGAATTGGCTGGTTGATGGCAAGGTTGGAGAACTGCGACAGGACCGGGTATGCTGGAAAGAATGGCATAATTCAATTCCAGAAAGGGGTTCCCAACATCAGACGACGCTGGAAGGCTTAACCACATCCTAGGCTGCAAGAGGATAAACATAACCCAGGGGGTACAGACGACGTGGAAAAAGGAGGACAAGTCTGATAACGCTGGAGCATGAACGGGGGTTGCAAAGGATGATCCCATCCCAGAGATCCGGAAGCTGACGAACACCCTGCCAGGGTCCAATTTTGACGACCGGATGATAAGAATGCAGACTGAGGGTGTAGGTTTTAATAATATACGGTTGACCTTCCAAAGGGAGGCAAAGTGGTGTATGGGAAAGGACCAGGTTGGGTAAGGACAACAGATGTGATCTTTCTAGGGTCAAATGCTTTATCTGACAGATCTGGTTTCCGGGTCTGAGAGGAAAGAGAGGGACAAGGCAAGCTGACAGTCAATCCTCCCATGGTGGAGTAATCAATGCTGCTCAGGGGTCCTTCGGCCTGACGGAAGGAAGCATGTGTGATTGGTAATTGATGTAATGTATAATTTGACTTGCCGGTGGAATAGGAACCGGACTGACGCTTCCCAGAATAGAAGGAGCCAGGACCATAAGGCCCTGTTTAAAAAAAAAAAAAAAAAAAGTGATTCCGACTGAATGTCGAAGGAATTAATTAAGATTCAAATTTTGGAGAATCTTAAGAATGATATTCGGAAAAAGAAAAGAAAGCGGGAAAGAAGCGATCCTAGCTATGTGCTATTTCAATAGTAGTATAGTACTAA